ATCAGTTCGACGATAGAGTGCTGACATAAAGCTTCAACGCTCAATACACCCCTATGAGGTGAGCTCCAACAGCTATTCCCAATGCAAAGCATCAACACCGTTGTAGTAGTGGCGTTGGGCGCAACTCTGCGCCAGTCATCGTCGTCGCGACGACATTGTGCGCGCTGCTCTGCATGCTATGATCATCGTTGTAGCGACAACGACGTGCATGTCGTTTTGGGGATGGTAATGACGTGGATGTAGTGTTTCTTCTTTCTGACATGACTAGCTCAATTAATACCAGTTCATGATATTTAGTTGACGCCGGTAGGTCAGCCCTTGTATGGGATTTTAGTGTTTGATAAGGCGGTGTGGTGTAGCTATTTTGATCAGTGGTTGGTTATCTGATGTGCATGCAGTGGTTTGGGATTTTAGTGTTTGACAAAGCGGTGGTGGTGTACATATTTTAATTTGTAGGTGCTTATTTGATGTAAAGGCGAAAGTTGTGTGGTGGTGGTCCTTTTTGTTGTTGTTGTTGGCGATGGTTGTTGTGGTGTTGTAGCGAGGAAGGATATGTGGGCGGCGACGATTGTGTTGTGGTGTGGTGCGGTGCGGGTGACGATTGTGGTGTAGTGGATCGATTTGTATTTTGGGGGGTTTTGGGCTTTTGGATATGATCGATCTGCATTTTAGGGGATTTTTTAGGTTTTTGGATATGCGATGATTTTTGTTAGAGGTACAGGTAGGGTGTTGACGATGATGGTGGTGTATCGTGGTGGTAGTGATGGTGTTGTGCTGATGATGGTGGTCGCAGGTGGCGGTGTGCTGTGGTGTGATGGTGGTGAACCAATTAGTTATATGCAACCAAGTATTAAGCTGTGATCTTAAAATTTGATAACTTGTGATTGAGATATAATTTGTGACCAACAAATTTGAAAATCTGTAACCAATAGTAAATTGTGACCTACAATTTTTTTTATTTGTGACTTACAAAATTTTCATTTGTGACCTCGAAATAATTTATGATCTATAAAATTTTTTATTTGTAACTTCAAAATAATCTGTGATCAATTAATTTCACAATATGTGACCAGTAAAAAAATTGTGACCCATAATTATGTATCTGTGATCATTAATTGTATAGTTGTGATTTTATTATATTTAATTAACAAATATTTTTAATTAATTATATATATACCTGAATTTTGAATTTTTAAACTATACACCTCAATTTTGAATTGGTGTAAACTATACACCTGATTTATGATTTTTTCCTTTTATCATTTGGACTATAGTTCACCCAAATGATTGGGCTTGACACTGAGTGCAGTTTAAATTTTAATGCAATTATTTCTTCCTCAACAACCACGTTTTAGTAGAGATATAACATAAAAATGTGACGTGCATTTGTCTAGAGTAATGCTTGACCACGCGAGGTATTGGCGTCAACTGATCCAGCAATTTCTGAAGTTACTTGGGAAGACTCATCTATGGAAGCCCACTATGTTTGGGCCTTTGATAACTTACTGGACAGTCTATAGTCCTTAGGCCCAATTGGCTCGTGCAATGGTTTTCAAGTATAATGACATCCAGGCCGGCCCAAAGCTGCCCATGTATTTATTTATTTTTTTTGCCCATCATTGAGGGTTACATTATTTGTTTAGAAGTTAGAAACACGTTTTAAATATATAAATAAATAAATAAATAAATAAATAAATAATAATAATAATAATAATAATAATAATAATAATAATAATAATAATAATAATAATAATAATAATAAATAAATAAATAAATAAATAAATTTGACTTTTAAACAATCAACTTAACAGAGAAAGACCAATTTCGCAACAAAAGTGGAAACGAGGATGTTTTTGTCAAGAACGAAATAATAGGTCCTAATTTTGCAATAAGCCAATACATTAGGAACCATTTGTACAATAAGTGATAACATTGTACATAGGATATGAATTATATTCACGCATTTTTTTTTATAAATACTTTAGGCTAGCCACATTAAAAGTTTAACCTTTATTTATCGTGACATTTATATTCTTGTTATGAAAAGAGGGGAAAAAGAAAAGAAAAGAATAAAAGACAATATACTTTTGTTTATTTTATTAAGAACCAAAATCAAAAATACAATGATAATAATTTCTAGAGTTGCAGATATACAATTGTTATTTACTAATAAATTTACCATTTACAACACTTTCATTAAATGACACATTAAACATATCCGTCTCATTAAAACTTTGTTTGATAACAATTCAATTGGGCAAAAAAATCTAACGAAAGAAAAAGAGTACATTGATTTTAGAGTATTAAAATTTTGCTAATAAAATCCAACGAAATAAAACCCAAGCAAAGGCAAAAAAAAGTACAACCACTTTTCATAATGTATTCCAATTTCATGAACCAATTTCTTGAATGTAAATATTAACGGTGCTTCGTGAATAAATCAACCACATTGCTACTTGAGTAAGCCCCCATTCTAATACTCATTCTTTCTCTTATTTTCAACAACACAATCTTCCATAAAATAATATTATACGTAAATAAAAAAACTTTTCATTCTTTTTCAATCTAACATTTTTCAAAAAAAACATTATTCCAACATTAAAATTTGACAAAAATGAGGGCCAAACGGGGGGCTAAATTTGTTTGACATCAATGTACCATTCTTCCAGTCAACTCTTTTTTACGATGTGGAATCACAAAATAAATAAATAAATAAATAATAATAATAATAATAAATAAATAAATAATCCTATATTCCAGTCGACTCTTGTAAATAATTTTTCAACTATAAAAATGAATAAATGAAAAGGCAGCAACTTTATAAAGTGCAATCTTACATCAATGTATTTGGTCCTCTCACAATGAACCTGGTTGGTGAGGCAGACGGCACTCACTGTCATTGAAAATCCACTTTGTCTGTTCTTCTCTCATGAGTTAATTCATTAGCCCCTTCAACCATAATGCTTCCTTCATTTCATCTGTTACATCAACATATCATGCCTCTGATGAAGAGAGGAACAGCCAACCGTTGTAGGAAAAATTCATTTCATAGCTCAGGCGTCTACTGAAAAAGTAAACATTCCCAAATATTTCTTCCTGAACTTCAATCAACCTCAGCTCAGTCCTTTTTGGAACAAATTTAAACTGATCTGTCTGTTCTTTTGTGAAAGGCATGCTCAGAAGACTGGAACTGAATTAGATCTTTTGCTGCCTTATGGGATTACTCAACCAAAGGCACAACGGAGAGTTTAATCAGGCATTGATTTTCCTCAATAATTTGTACCACCAATCCAGGTTATCCCCGGGATTTTCCTTGTGTCTCCGCCTTTTTCAACCCTCAACTGATTCACAGCATCCCAACTCTCATCACCAGCATAAAAATTAGAGAGCATAACACTGTACTTGCTAATTTCTGCCTTATTCTTAAATAGATGCTGAGCTATGACCTCTCCCAATTTATAATTCTTATGAGCATCACAACATGATAAAAGCGCACCCCAAATACTCGAATTCACTGGTTGTTCTATGGATTTGACTAGCTGATAGGCCTCTTCCAACTCTCCAGCCATCCCAAGAAGCTTTACCATGTAAACATAATGCTCGGTTTTAGCTTTAATGCCAAATTCATTTTTCATCATTGTAAAATATTCCCAACCATCGCTGACAAGACCAGCATGACAACATGCAGAAAGCAGACCACAAAAAGTAGTTTCGTCTGGACTGAATCCTCCAACTATCATGTCATTAAACATCTGAAAGGCCTCAAGCGCTCGTCCATACAGACCAAGACATGAAATTATAGAATTGTACATAACTATATTCGTACTTGTCTTAGTTTCGAAAACCTGAATCCCCAATTCCAAGAACCCGCACTTCGCATACATGTCAATCAAAGCAGTGGAAACCATGATCTCCATGTAATATCCATTACGAACAGCATGACCATGTATCTCGCTGCCTGGCCCAACAACTGCCAACTGAGCAGAAGCCGCAAGTACACTGGCAATCATTACAGGATCTGCCTTTCCGCCATCAATGATAAATTTTCTGAAAAAGTACAAGGCCTTCAGAGAATCCCCAGCCTGAGAAAGCCCCGTTATTAGCGACGACCAAGTAACTAAATCAGGACGGACTAGACTATAAAAAACTCTACAGGCCGAGTCCATACACTTAAATCTTGAATACATACTCACAAGAACACAACCCACATGATCATTCAGAACAAAACTGTGTTTGAAACAAAAACCATGAATCGCTTCACCAAATTTTATCAAACTAGGATCAGTCAACCCCGTGATCAACCCTACCACCGTATACCCATCTGGGCTTACTCCCATTTCCAGCATCATGCTAAACAATTGCAGCCCTTTCGAGAAATCACCATAACAACCATATCCCGAGATCATAGTGTTCCACAGTACTAAATCTGGCTCATCTATCCCATAAAACACACTACTCGCCTCATCAACATTGCCTACCTTAGAATAAGCACTCACAAGTGCACTATCACATATAAATTCCATCCCTAAACCAGAAACAACCACTTTCCCATGAACTGCCCTCAAACCCTCTATATTCCTCCATTCAGAACATGCACGTAAAACACAAGCGAATGTGAAGTTGTCAGGCTCTGTTTTCGAAAACAGCAGGCGCCGAAACAGCATAAATGCATCAGAAAATTTGTGGGCCTGTGCATAAGCTCGAATTATGGCGTTCCACAGATAAATGCTCCGTTGAGGACTTTTATCAAACAGGTTGCGAGCGGAGACGAGATCACCGTTTATTGCATATAATCTCACAATTTTGGTTGAGTAAAATGAATCACGAGAGAGGTTATTTTGAATTACGAGTCCATGCAAAATCTTGGCTCTTGAAAGGGTTTGATTGAGTTTTGATAGTTCCGAAAGAAGTGCTTTTAATTGGATGTGCATTTGGTAAGTACTGCCTACATGGAAATTGTTAGTTTTGGTGCAAGCAGAATGCTGAAACTCACCTGAATGTGACCGCATTCCAAAGCATAATATTATTTTCTTGGGGCACACCCCTGATACCTGCAGAGGGGTAGTGTTGTAAACTCTTGAAATCCCTCATTAGTTGCTTCCTAGATGGAGTAGACATCCTAATTGCCTAATATAACAATCATTAACCAAATTAATTAGCATTCGCAGGAAAACACCAACATATAATAACTAAAATCAACAGACAAAATAATCACAATCTAATAGTTTTGTTCAATAAGTCATACACAGATTCTACATCTGCTCGGTTTACATTCTTGCGATCAGATGAGAGATAACAAGACTTTTCAGTACTATTTCTGAAAATAAACTTAGCTCTCGTTTGGCCCCCATTAAATTTCATTTCATTTTTCTCTCTCCTATTTTTAATAGCACAATCTTTCATAAAATAATATTATACGTAAATCCAAAAAATTTTCTTCTTTTTCAACCACTCATCTTTCAAAAAAACAATATTTCACCCATTTTCATTTCAAAAAATGGGGGCCAATAGGGGGCTTAGTGTTATCTACGTTATTCATTACAATTCTAAAGACTCAATTTTCATTCAAGAAAAGTAAATTATCACCTCAATTTAGCATTTAAAAGAATTTTATGTAAAACCCATAATTCTAATGCATAAAAACCCCCAAAAGAAAAACAAGAAGCGAAAAGCTCATATTTCTTCGTCATATCAATATTCAAGATTCCAAGTCAATTTTTCTTGATCTACTTTCAATTAATTAAATAAATGAAAACACAATATCTACACGAATTTTATAGTGGGTATATGTTTACCAGGGAGATGAATCAATTGAAGTCCTTCGGTTGAGGGTGTGAAGCGTGAAGCCAAGGAAAGAAAGAATAAAAGAAATGAACTGTGGGAATCTTGTAGGTGCAAGTGTGTTGAGTATAATATAATTGGTATATTATTGTTAGGCAGGCTTATTTCTTGCACATGCTTACTGGCACATAGGTGGTTAATTAAATGGATAATCATTAAATTTTTCGTTATATTAATCAACATCTGGGCCAGTTTTCAAAGCATTGGAAATCTATGTAACCTTCAAATACAATTACTAGACCTAGTGAGTTTGAATGTTGATTATGTTCAGTTTAATTGTTAAATTGCATAACTAACTGGTTCGTTCAAGAAATAAAAACCCGATAGATCAATATTTAATTTCGTATATTGTACTATGTGATCATTTAAATATTGTCATCAAAAGCTCCACCTTTTATAACTTCATCTTCCTTCATTATGCAACTAAAGTTTCAAATGAATGCATTAATTATTGCAAATGACAAACATAAAGTCAACGAAGAGATTCTGGCTGTTGAAAGAAAAATTTTCAATAATAAGTTATAAACCTTATACCCAATAAATTTAATATTAGCCAAAACAATTTCAAATTTTTGAGTGTCTCACGACATCCTAACTAAAATATGGCAAAGCACTGTACTAGAATTTGAAGAGACACGTGAAGTGAAATTGCTATTGTTGGTAATACCGATACAGAATTAAAGAATATATTGTTGAGTGCACCATCTTACTCCCATTGGTCACTTGGATAAAAAAACTGTAGAAGACCAGCAATGGCACAAGTTTATATCCTTTGGTCCAACGTTTTATGAGAAATTTGGATTGAACTCTCATTAATTAATATTAGTTGCCAATGTCCTCAGGCTATAAGAACTCACCAACCTAGATAAATATCTCAGTAACCTACGCTTCAATCAACTAAATAACAAAATTTCAAGATCCTCCAACATGCCCAAAGTACAGAAAGAAAAGGCTCCACGTTGTAGGCAAATCCTTGTAGTTCAAAGCCCCGAATAAACAATCAGCGCCAGTACTTGCATTAATGCTTCCACATACCTCTTTCCATGCATGCGTGGTTATTTCAGCATCCTCACTTAATGCCTACAGAGTCGAGACCTTTCTTTCTTTACTTTGGACTCGTCGTCAATGATCATCATTTTTGTCTCCAAATTGATTGAATCATGAATTGCACAAAAAATTATCCACGTTGATTGAGTTCAAAAGCCTCAAGATCTGGGCCAGCTAATTAGAAATGTTAATGTTAACATAATAAATGATTTATTATGATGCACCGACATGGACATGTGTGTCCGACGCGATACGTGTGATTTTTCAAAAAAATACCAACACGACACGTCGACGACATATTAATTAAATTCTTTAAAATTCTTCATTTATATAATATAAATTTATTTTTATACTTAATATTGATTTTTCTTGTTGAAATCTTTTAAATATGTGTACTTATTTGTTATTTACTAATAATTTTGAGTTAATAATATATATTAGCTATATTAAGAAATAAAAATAATTATTGTAAAGTGTCCGAAAAGTGTCGGTATCGACCTGTGTCCGATATGGACACGCTACCTAGTTAAAGTGTCCGCGCTACACAAATGATTTAAAAAAGAAATAGTAAGAGAGAGAGTAGTGGGTCCCATGTAATGTGTGAAAAATAATAAATAGTAGAGATGAAAGTATGGCTGAAATTAAAATTTGACTTTAACTGAATTTATAAAGTATTCATAAATTTGTATCCAAAAGGAGGCCAAGCAAGCTAAGTTTCTCAAAAAAGGCTAGATGGAAGGTCAAGTTAATTTACCTCGGGTAGCCAATGGTAGTAACTTACTACACTCACTTGAATAGACTTTAATTCTAGTATTCTACTTACCTGAGTGAGGATACCATGTGACTAGCAGAAAGTACAAGGAATGATATTTGTTTCTTCAAAGCTCAAAAACTCCTTGCCTTCCTTGTTTAAGTTGGAGCATAGCTGCCAATCTACGGGCCATGCCAAGCTTGAACCTCTAGCAAGACATATATACGTATTTCCTTCATTACACGGCCTCCTTAAGAGCTAAGCAATCCCAATAAGCTCTAGTTAGACTTGTGCTACTCTTATTCACTGCCAAATCCGTGCAGATTCATTTAAGCAAACGTGCTAGATTTTATCAAAGCTTATTCAGCAAAATGCACACCAATGCATGCATTTGATGATTATATAACAAACATAATGCAAAAAACTATTTCAATGTATATACACAATTAAGATTCTACTTGCACGCTCAGAAATTTATTTATCTCAGTAACATCAATATATATTTCTCCTCCCCTTCCTGTCATCCCTTTAATATCACAATCTCAATCCTATAAAATGTACAATAAAAACATATTTGGCGCGCACAACTAAATAAGCTAAAAAATTACTAATGTGCAATTAAGCCCCTGTTTGACAATCATTATTTGGGTAAAATGGAGTTTTGAATAGTGATTTTTTTTGGAGAATATATAGCTAAAAAGTAAGTAAAAGTTTTGAGTTTACGTGTGGAATATTGTATGTGTGATTAAAAATGAATATGTAGAAAAAAAAGGTTTTGAAATACTAGTTGTCAAGCAGGGGTTAAACATCATATGGGCGCCAGCATTTCAGCCATTTACATCAACACTAGTTTCACATTTGTAACTTGTGCTCTATTCTCAGAAGCATCACAATGATCCAGTACTAGAAATTATACACTACTAACCCTGAGGGGTAGCTCAATGATCAGACCTTGAATTTGCTTCTCAATGGTCATGGTCACCAGTTCGAGTCCTCTCATAACCATTAAACTGATTACCTGGCTGTAAACTTCAAAACCCCGTGTGATTAGTCAAGGTGCGCGTAAACTGGCTCAAACACCCACGATTATGAAAAAAAAATTATACACTACTAGTTAAGTATCCCGTGTACACTTTAAACTTCCTATGTTTTTAAGCTGAATCGGGCATTGACCTAAAGAACAAAAAGGGTCAAAATGTCAAACTAGGTCAAACCGGTTGTAATAAATAATATATCACATAAAAAGAGAGAGTTAGTTTTCTAAATTAATTATTAAATATAAAGCAAACAACTTATTAAGCTTGTCAACATTTAATTTTCGTTACGTCAACTTCTGAATAGCAAATGAGACAATAAATATAGAAAAAGCTTCAATATATGATTAATCACTTAAATATTTATACAGGATTTAAGTGTGTCATTAAAATAAAATTAAAGGAAAAAAATAGAGGTAGAATGAGAAAATAAATCAAATTAAGAAATAATTATTTAGGTTTCAGATCTTACAACTTTTTTGAAATAAAAAGAATTATTTTCTATGGTAATTCAACATGTGGTAAACCGCTTGAAGCACATTTCTCATTAGAATCCCACATTGGAGCCCAGTAAAGGAAAGAGTAGGGGAAACAATTGGCAAATTGCAGTGAAATCACTCCATTTCAGGTATATTTACTGCTTCAGATGGCCTGAGGTCTTTTGTTTTCTAAATTATAAGACAGCTGGCTAAACAGCAAAAACTGGAGCAGGGCCAATCAGTTTGCTGTTCATAATAAGTTCAGTGAATAAACTGTGACATGGTACAAAGGTCAGTGGCCAATGAAACATTTAACTCAATAACCTTCCACTTGTAGTCATTTGACAACAGCGGAACCTCATCATCTTCTCCAAACTATTGAAGGTATGCATTTCTATGAATCTTTTATATAAAGATCAAATATGTAATTCCGAAATAATAAAATAATTCGATTTTTCATCAAATCAGCACTCCCACTTGCTGCTTTCCTGATAGATTCTTCTCGAGCACCACCATCAGTATGTATTACCTTATTATCAACCTTCATTTGATCTAAAGACTTCACAGAAAATTTAGAGGCATCACATTGAGCATCAACAGAAATTCTTTCATGTTTGAGCAAGAAAAATTTAATAAAGATAGGGAGGCAAGGAAGAAGCAAATCAAGAAATGCATCTCGAGTGCATTCAGGGGTGAAATACTACAGACTCTTGTTCATTTACTACTCAGTCGCTCTGTGTTTCAATTGATTCTTAGTTCTCCTTGAAACCAATTTTGTTCGAATTGCCAGGCCATTGGTATCAAGGTAAAAGGTGCGAAGTAGTAGGAATTTACTCACAATCTGTCATACAATTAAACCACATTAACAAGAATAGATGCAAACCGTCAAATAGAGAACAACAAACTGTGGCCAAACTTTAAAATATATATATTTGCTACTATAGTATAGATGTTGGGAATTAATTGGCTATCAAATGATTCAACCCCACTCAACCGATCAACCCCGTATCCAAGTGAGAACTCAAGCAGAATCAAACTATATCAATCTGGTTGAACAATTAAATCATGTTACGAAGGCCATTCAAATGGGACACATGATTCTGTGAATTAGTCTAAGTGTTGGGAGGAAGAGTACAATTACAATTCCCAAAAGAAACCATGTAAATAAATATTTTTCAGATTTGTAAAACCCATAAGTGTCAGATGAATAGCAACTACAAAGCCCAAAATTTTAAAACCCATACAAGCTTGAGATTTACCTTCGTATTGTCCGTCCATTGCGAGAACTACAGAAACGGAATGGGAGCTGCTTCTTCATGCTTGCGTGGGCTGTTTGAGTAGTTAGCAATGGCGTGAAGGACTTTCATTTCGAGCTCAGGGTTTAGATTAGGGGGATTTAGGGTTTCAATTTCGATTAGGGCTCATTTTCTTCCCTGAAAGTTCGCAATTTAGGTGAGCGAAATTTTGTGGAGGAAGCCTGTTAAATGAAAGGCGTGTAATGGGGTTGGGGAAGGCGTGTTTTTAATGCTGATGGTCAATTATTTGACAAATCATTTAACACTCGTAAAGATTTAATCGGTCAGTTAGATTTTCTGTATGCCACGTAGACACGTCAATTAACGTATCTGATTCAGTGAATAATGGACAGTAACGAATTGAAGTTAAGTAGTTAATGGGATAAGTTTGAAATTTTGATGAGTAAGTCAGGACATAAGTTAAAGTTCAGTGGCTAATGAAACATTTAACTCAAGTTGATTGCAGTGCCCTAAAAACTAAAAGGACCAGACCTTCACATAAAGTAGGTTAATTAGGCCCATTACTATTCTGGGCCCATCTAAAGGTAATCGCGATTTGTATGAAAATATTGCATAATTTCGGTATTAAGATTAATCGCCTTTGTAGTTTGTCCACTTCTTTCCTGATACCCTCCTCTTTAGTACTCCTCGATTGGAAAAACTTAAATTGACGAGGGCTACTACAAAGTTGGGTGTACAACCCCTCACATGGAAGCGGGGCCAACGCATTAATTGGGCGTGGGCCCCTCTCCTCATGGGAGGGGAGTGTACCCCGGTGTACAAAGGGCTTTATTCTAAATTGAAAATGACAAAATATTGGGAGTAGTGAAGTGTGAGGGATGGGATCCCAGATCTTTTTGTTTAGATCGATAATTGTGGTGCATGGGATTAATGACACTCTTGTGATTGGTTTGAACAAGTGAAATGTATAGATAATATCATAATAATGAGTAGATGTTGAATGTATGATTTAAAGATTATGATTGAATTTATAAAGTATTTATAAATTTTACCAAAAAAAGGTATATTTATAAGTGACATTAAGTGTATATATATGTGACAATTGATGTAATTAACTCACATGGAGGGTTACATCAATTAACTAATAAAATGTTAAAGTCACGTAGAAATTTCCGTTAGAAAATGGATGGCAACTGAAGTGATTGTATAACTTAAACGAGTAGTAAAGTTCGATAAGGTAATTGATGCTATTAAAAGTTTAGTGGTAAGTGAAATTAAGGGTGCGTTTGATTGCACACATTTTTCATGGAAAATGGGTTTTTTCCATCTAATTTCCTACTTTAGTCTTGTTTGATTGATAATTTATTACAAGGAAAATATTTTCCTTGTTTTGGTCACGTGACCACATTTTCCTTGAAAACAAGGAAAATATTTCCATTGTTTTGGTCACGTGACCACATTTTCCTTGAAAACAAGAAAAATATTTTCCTTGGGGGAAGGTGGATTTTATTTTCCATGGAATTTAACCTTTCCAAAAATTCTAGGTAACCAACCACGTGAATATCTCTCTCTCTCATCTCTACCCACCCACGTACAAATCACTACCTCTCTCTCATCGATTCTCAACCAGGAAGGCGTCTCTCTCATCCATTCAACCGAAGCAGAATGAAGAAATCAACCGACCAGGAAGGCATCTCTCATCCATTCAACCGACCAAGAAGAAGAAATCGACGAGGCGGTGACTGCATAGATTCAGGTTACTTTAACAATCAAACCACAATATTTGATTTCTATATGTTTAATTCTTAATTAAACTGAGTACAAAGCGAACACGGATTTCTCGTGATTGGATGCGAACACGGATTCCAGAATTTGTTTTTGTTTTTCTTGCTTTTGAGATTCTACATGATTGTATACGAACACAGATTCCAGAATTTTTCTCATCTGTAATGACCCCCAATTCTGTTTCTGTGATGGGCTCTGCAAGGTGGAGGTGGAGGAGGAAAGAAATTGGGTTCTGCAAGGTGGAGATGAAGCTGGAGAGAAATTGGGTTTTCTGAGGGTATTCCGGGAAATTTCTGGCTATAGTGAAGTTTGATTATTGCTGCCTCTCGAATATGGTTATGATTTACAGGTTTTTATATGTTCTTTTCAAGCGCTGGTATCTAGTACTTGTTGGTAGAATCTCAGATATTGGTTGAGACAGCCTCAGATGGTATCCAAGTGGTTGGATTTTGGAGCTCAACATACAGAGTTTTGTTATGAATCATATTGTTTCTGATATTGCTTCTGTTTTTAGTCCATTATCTCGTCCAACTTCGTGCCACATGTTATTGATGTTCCTCGACATGGATCATTGCCATCTTAATTTTTTTATCACAGCAAAGACTTATTTGTGGTCTTTTGGAGTGGTCCAATATAGAAGGTATAGAAGAGATTACTCCCATTACCACAACAGCTGTTGTCACTCTTTGGAAATTGGAATGGTTATCCCTTCGCTTAGATAATTTTTTGGGGCAAATTCTATCTTTTAGTGCTAAAAGGTGTGCTACGTACTGTGTCAACTGAAAATCTTCTACCATCGAATTAAAATACGGAAAGCCTCTAATGGCTCTTTACATATACACCTTTGTACAGATGACTTGTGTTGGTTGATATACGAACCAAAGTCTTGGTTCACTCTTGCTTGATCCAAGATTAGTGTTTTCATTGAAAGCGCTATTTTACGAGAGCAAATAGGAAAGAATCTCCCACATTATTGCCATTCATAAGTTAAGGGAAACTAGTGGTTAATATGTCAACAATGTATCAAACACTCCCAGCCTTGGACAGTCCCAAAGCGTGTTCCTTGTTTTGCATTAATACCTTCTTCCTTGAGTACAACATCACCCTTGGTATGATTCGCAGTGGTGCCTTCTTTGAGTCCTTGGGCTTCACCTCACAGCTCATAAATTCAATCTGGTCTCCAAGCATGTCTTCCTCAGCTAAGATAACTTGCTCACTCTGTTTCAAAGTCGAGATGGTTGATCCTATTATTCATGTAGTTTAATTGAGCTCCTATAGATTCTTTATTTTGTTCTACGTTTTGTGGGCAACCCTTTATTCTATCTCTAATTTCAATTTTATAAAAATGTTAGTAAAAAATTTATGAACTCTGGCACCTTTAAGTTGTGTAAAAGTTTAGAATTTTTTTGAGTTTTTTATTCTTTGGCTATTTGGGTTATGGCATAGAAGTTTTGGATGTTGGGAAATCAGAATTCATCGAATATGAACAATTTCGTGGTTGTGAAATTTGTTATATATGTATTCCAGGGTCATTCCAAAAGGTATGTACAATCATTTTTTTATCCGACCTTTTACTTGTTTGGGCTCAATTATAATTTGGCGGATTGATATTGCATATATTTACTGTAATCGATGGGGTAATTTTGGTTAGTCTTCACCTTATTGGAATGGTGAAAGCTTCTAGTAGTATTATGGACTGGATTGTTACTTCAGTTGTTCTTCACATCTTATTGATACACACGTCCTCAAATGAAGTTAAAATTGATTGGAAATGGGGGTCCTGGTGGCTTATCCGATAGTCTGTTTCTACGCAAAATTACGTGGTTTCACTGTCATTCTAAATGGCGTAAAGTTAGTTAACAATGAAAAGTATAAAATATAAAAGAAGAGTGTTTACTTTTCTTGTGTATAATAATTGTATTATGAGCCTGCTTGGTACTTTCACTAACTGCAGATGGATGCTATTTATTCCTTTGAAATGAAAATGTTTTTATGATAGCTTATTGTAATGCTTTGATTCGTTTCCCCTAATGCATATAATTTAGCATGATCCCAAGCCGATATTTGACATGTACCTCCTCATCTAGGTCCATCAAAAGGAAAATGAAAGCCAAGATTTGAAGAGGGAGCCACGAGTTACTTGGCAAAAGCTATTGAAAATGTTAAAATGATAAGAACAAAAGAATATAAAAATATGAGATGTCCTGATATTGGAAAATGAGATGCTTACTTATACGGATCTTAAAGTTTCTTGTTCTTCTATTTAACATGTGAAAAAACTTAGTAGTTTGTTAGCCTATTGGTTACAAGTTCAAGAAATTAAACCCAGCTAGCGTTTTGATTGGCTTGGGTGCGTGTATCTATGGATCTATTGCCAATATAATGCACAATAATTTAACTATTGTCCATTGTGCGTATTTCCCTGTAGCTACAGTTTACTTTTTATTCTGTAATGCTGTTATGTTATTCTTTATAAACAAATTTTTATTATATTTTTATTTACCGTGGTAGTTTATAACATGGCTTCAACAACGAATCAACGTCGATGTCGACGACAACATTTAGGTTTATTTTGGACGATGGTCATACAAGCGATTGTGATATATAACAAACTTAGGCATCGTGCACGACATCTTCCAAGAGCTCCTCATACAAATTTGAATTCTGAAAGAGAAATAACACTTACACGAATGTTTGACACAAGTGATACAATATGTCGTGATCTCCTTAGGATGAAAATAGGTCCATTTCAAAGATTATGTGCTCGTTTGCGAACTTATGGATTTGTTGACAATAAATACGTTCGAATTAAGGAACAAGTCACAATTTTTCTGAATACAGTCGGCATGACCAATGTAATCACACTGGACGTTTTACTTTCTTTCGCTCTGGTCAAACAGTGAGCTTTTACTTTCACAGAGTCTTACACGCTTGTCTTGGACTATATAGAGATGTTGTGATTAATGACACTCCTTATAACTCACCATACGAAAAAGAAAATGTGCAGCCATGGTACTCCTTTTTTTCAGGTTAGTGGTTTGTAGATATTTCATCATATTTCTTAAAACTTCAATATTCACATTTATTTTGAAAAGTATTGTTTTTTAAAGGATGTCGTAGGAGCAATCGATGGTACACATATAGCTGCGTATGTGCCTTTAGAGGAGCAAGGTAAATATCGCAATAGAAAGCAAGTGATTTCCCAAAATGTTTTAGTAGCTTGCACATTTGATATGAAATTTACGTACGTCCTTGCTGGTTCGGAGGGATCCGCACATGATGATCGATTGTTACGGAGTGCAATATTACGCCAAGGACATAAGCTAACAATTCTTGTTGGTAAGTTGTGTCACTATTTTGAAAACATTTCTTCCACACATAAGTTATAATAATTACCTAACTACCATCTTATGAACGACTCTTTCCTAGGTAAATATTACCTTGTTGACGCTGGCTTCCCATCGGTTTCCGATTTTCTTGCACCATACCGTAGGACTCGTTATCATCATAGAGACATTGAAGGTCAACGTCCTGAAAGTAGTAAGGAGTTGTTCAATTTTTGACATTCATCTCTACGTAATGTTATTGAGCGTACAATTGGTTTGCTGAAAAAAAGATTTGCATATTTGAGGCATCAACCCTATCACGACATTGACACACAAGCAAAGATAGTTCTTGCATGTTTTGTCATCCACAACTTCTTAAGGATTGATGACGTTGAAAATGTTTGTGAGGAGGACGACTTAGATAGTAGTGATGATGAGGTTAACCCTATGCATGTTGATGTACCTAAAGATGAAACTCCAAATGCTCACATATCTTTCACAAATCAGGAAATGTGGTCTAATAAGAGGAATGCGATTGTTGATTTAATGTGGGCTGACTATCTTCCCAATCAGAATGCGGGAATTGATTTCGAATGAAATCTTGTTTTTTTTTCTATGTAATGGGTATAAACTTACTAGACTTTCATATGTAGTAATTGCTTGAATTGAAGACATATTGACATTAAGCAGATTTTTTTTTTTTTTTCATTTCCTGTAATAGTTGACATAAGATTGCTAGAATTTTAATTATTGTAATTGGAATTGTTGTTATTCGAGACATTGTTGACATGCAATTTTCTTAAATGTTCTTATTTATTGGTTGACCGTAAACAGTTAATCTTGCACTATACAATTCATGGCAAATATTCGACAAAGCTCTGCGGCACCTTTTCGAGATCCTAGACCAACCCTTCATTCAGATGTGGAGGAAATAAGCTCAACCCAAGCGGATCCTAATTCTAGGAATCGTCAAATACGTTGGAGTGATGCAATGGACGGTTTTATGATAACTGCACTACTACATCAAGTGTTGTTTAGTCACAAAAGAAGTGACAATGGCTTTTCATCATATCACGTGTCCAAAGTAATCGAGAGCGTGCACAATGGATGCGGAGTCATGGTGTCTGATAAGAATGTGAGGGTGCAATTGAAAACTCTGAAAAAAGAATATGTTGAAGTTCGTCAGTTGTTAAACATGAGTGGTTTTGGGTTAGATCCTCACACTGGACGTGTCACAACCGATGTACTAGCTTGGAAGGAGTTGTTGAAGGTACAAAATTTCATTGACCAATGAAAGTATTATTCCTTAAATATTATTAATATAATTTATTTTGCCCACAAACTAGCGTAAAACATATTTCACTCTTTTTCTTGTAGGACCAAACTTTGTTCTCGTTATGATGATTTGGAGGCTATTTTTGGAAATAATTCTACTACAGGAGATCATGCTATAACCGGCAATGACATTTTATCCCCCGATCATGGTACGTACTAGATCGGACATAAAAAATTATATAATTCGTATTATATTATAGATTCTAACAATTTCTTATTTTATTATTTTTTTAGATGAAAATGTGCATGAAGTTGATGGTCAAAATGAGGATACGGATCCAAGCCCCATTCGCGGTCCTAAGCGTAATGCCGAAGGAGGAACTAACAAAGTTCGCCGTCGACGTACCCAACCTAATGATGAGAGTCTCGTTGCCCTATCAAGCATTGCCGAATCATCCAAAAAAATTGCTATCGCTATGGAGACTTAAGCAACATTAGATACGCTAAACCACATCAATTGACAGTTAGTTCTAGAAAAATTACAAGGCATGAGTATAGAAAAGCGTGATATAATGCAAGTAATGAAAATATTTCGATCGAATGAGAGTCTGGCTAGAGTATTTATGAGTTTGACTGATGAAGAATTCATACGTGATTTAGTATTTGAGAATCTGGGCCGTGATCCGCTTCCACTATTTTAAGATGACTTGCTTGGATAATTTAACAAACATGTGATCTATGTTGATTTTATTTGCTATTTTCTTATGATACAATTTTTTAGGTTTTTTCATTTTCGTTTTACGTAATACATTGGACGAAATTTCATCATTATTTATTGAATTGATTATCTGATTATTATTTTTGACTGCAAAGACGAATATGTAAGTGGTAGAAATTTGAATTGTTAGGGATAATTATTTCATCTCGACAGTGTTTCTGCATCTTTCACATCGAATTTTGGCATGTTTTTATCCACAAATTAACTGTTATATTAATTATGATTGATTAGGATTTGGCCGCATTTATGTCTAAAATTTGGATAATTCATTGTCAACTTTTCATGGGAAAAACTACTATTTTCCATGGAAAAAGTGACAATTTCCATAGAAAATAGTGGTTGTCAAATAGATAAAGTTGGAAAAAATAATTATTTCCATGGAAAATAATGGTTATCAAACACCAAAAGTTGGAAAATTGCAACATATTCGAGGTTGAAATTTAAGTCAATCAAACACGTGTAATTAACATTTTCCATGTAAATAATTTCCAGGCAATTGAATTACCTGGAAAATATTTTCTTTCCATGCAATTTTCCTACTTACAATCAAACGCATTGTAAATGTAAATTTCGACGACAATCACTATAATTATCCCAATTTACTTTTTAACTGGGGAAAAATTTCCACCAATAATCACTTTGCCAGTTTACTTCGAAAAATATTCATTATTCATAAGGGTAATTATAATGATGTCACATTTTGTTACAAGTACACCATATTTTAACTGCATTAAAGGTCTCTAATATTTATTTATTATCCCTTCCACCAACATTTTTCTTATTGGGTGTCACTGTGTCAGACTGCCAATATATAGAAACCCATCTCCACCACTTGATATTTTTATATTCATAGTGAATTTTTCAAAATCGTCAATGGTGCAAATAGAACATTTTTGTTTGATGGGGGCAGAAATCAACCCAATTCAGAATGAGAGATTGATGGGTAATGGAAGAATAGGCAAAGGAATGGGTGCGGATCGAGCAGGGAATTGGAGGCATATGTGGTCTTTGAAAGTTACGTGTGATTTTGTCTTTATCAGATTTTATAATTGTTGCATTCACATACTAGATTTCGAGTACAAATTTCTTTTTAAAAAATTGTAAATTTGGAAGTTAACCCATCTCAAAGATTTCGATTGATCGAGCTTTATATTTGATCTCTGATAAACAAGCTATTGTAGGAAAAAGGAGGAGGAATGACATGATGAGTACGCAATAGGTAACATTGGCAATGATTGTGGTGCATTTGACGACGTTATAAAGGTGGTTGAGCTAAGACAGTGAAGGTGAGGTTGGATGGTTGGAGAAAGTGTAAGAATTTTTTTTTCTTTTTCTTTATTAATTGACATTCTAACGGTAGAATGGTTGGAATCCGTAATAGTGTAATACTAATGCCACATCCATAGCCAATAGTTTAAGGGCCTGTTTGAGAATAATTTTTCCTCTCAAAAAATTAATTTTTTGATCGTTATTTCACTATTCCAACCGTCATATTTGAATTCTTCTTTCAAAGATGGATCCCACTTTTTTCATAACGGTCAAAAAATCAATTCTCAAAATCACTCTCAAACAGGCTCTAAGGATCACGCTGTCAAGTAACATAAATTGAGGGCAAAGGTGCTACAATATCGATAGGTTGGTGACTGATGCTGCAATTTTCCCTACAATAGACTGACTGGTCCCACAAAATTTCTGTGATTGGGTCTTTGGATATAGGCAACATACATGACATGTCGCCCCACGGTTACTATGTAGCACGTGAGGCTACTCCTTATTGATATGATTAATATTTCTTGATCTTCATGGATGACAAATTACTGTATAAGGTATGATTAATCTAAATAATGTTATCTTTTGTCGGGTCAGTGTTTTGGTCCTTTTGGACTTTGTTGATTTTCATCAAAATTTACTAAAGAATATATATATATATATATATATATATATATATATTTAGAAAAATCAATCAAGAATTAAGTTTTAACGTACTTTTATTGTTATACATTCGATAAAGGTATGATCTTTCAACACTATATGAATTTACTGTATTTCATATATTCTCATATGTTCGAAATCGAACGTTATGCTTGCTCCTTTCTAATTTGTTTATTCAATCAAATGGAACAATTTCATGCCAAAATTTCCACCCTGTAGATCAAAAAAGGATTTTTCTAGTTCGAGAAAACAAGACTTATGTCATAAAGTTCATATCAAATTATATTATTCGAGAACTTTTTTATGACAGAAAATAAATCAACACCTTTGAATTGATTCAGATTATTCGTGTTTAATTATGCTTAAAAAGTTGTAAGCATATTGAGAAAAGAAGTCTCTTTTTCATTGATTAGGTAGCATAGATAGTGCAAATTGTTGGATATTAGGTACTATCTTATGTCATTTGCATCTAAATTGATGTGATTTGTCCCAAATTAGTGGGTTATAATTAAAACTTATAACCAAAACAATTGTCAAAAAGTGAGTGAAAGGTGATAGAGAAATTTGTGTGAATTTTTGAATTTCCGTTGTGAATGCTCTCCACCACCTTGCCAACATATATATATTTCTCCAAATATTCCAATTTAAAATAAATTTAATAAATTTTTATCCCTTGTTTCTTTAACTACGTAAAATTTAATCTATAGTAGAAATGTGTTAATTCATTTGTAGTATTTCATGACTTGACTTGTATAGAATATCTCATGTAGAACTAATGTTGACATTTTTTAACACAAAACGATCATACCTCTTTATCTTAGAACCTTTTTCACAGGAAGAGAGGTTGATGTTCCGTCGAGCAAAACAACAGTTTCAATCGTCACCATGAGCAACAATCTTAGGTTGGTTTCTTGAATATAATGACACAAAAGAAGTAAATTTTACACTATAACCAGCACCTAATTAACTTTTTCTAAATAGGGGTAAAAACAGTAAGTTTTAAGTAATGGTTTCTTTTTCAAATTTGCCTTTTGTTTCTGTCAAGCTTTGTTTGTATGCACGACAAACATACACAAAGCTTTTGTTTCTATCAAGCTTTCTAGTTAATTAATATGCCTTTGGTTTCCATCATGCTTTTATAGGGATAATTAATTTGTCTTTTGTTTCCTAAAGATCAGGTGACATGCAATCACTTCGCTTGGTTAGAGGTTGAGCCAATTCTGATGAAATTAACTGAACTTATATTTAAAAAAATTAGCTCTGACCACAATCTAAGAAGTGAAAGAATTCAAAGGGCGTAAGGGATTGAAATTCGATCGAAAGAATCAACTGCGACTATATATCTTAGGCTCTGACCACAACCTAAAAAGTGAAAGAATTCGAAGGGCGCAAGGGATTGGGATTCGGTCGAAAGAATTTATTGCGGCTATCTTTACCTACATTTATGAATATAACTCAAACCAACCATGACAAGATTAAGTTTATTAGTACCGTAAATTGGATTGTTGTGAATCAATAAAAAGGTCAGCTACTTGATTTTTCGATGAGGTGAGCACATACAAAATGATGTGTATCTCAAAGAAAGAAGCACGCCTGGATTAGATGAAACAATCTGTAATTGATTTAACACATCTGAAATTTTTTGGATATCCTATTTTTCAATCTCATCGATTAGTTCGGTATGATGTTGACAACATTGATATATACATTGTGCCTTCCATTTTGACGAATACACTGTATGAGAAAAAATGTGAATCCAAACAAGAGCAAAATATATCACATGTGAAACCACAAGAGAAGTGCTTGTAAAACTTGTGGCATGTTAATGGAGCTTGTGTAAGAAATGGGGGACAAATGGGACCAATATGCATGGAAAATTCAAAACTCCATTGTTGAGGAGTCAACCTCAGTGTCTTTTCTAGTCCGACATTAGCCATCATTTCCCATATTGAAAAAATAATAATAATAAATAAAAGGGTTTCAAAAGTTTCAATGGATACATGAAGAATACTTTCACACGCATGCAAAAAAAAGGCACCTTTCTTGAAATAAAGCAATATTTCTTCACTTTTTTTAGCCTAATTTCTCGTGATTGTTTGTCTGTCTTAATTTTGGGACTGGTTGAAATTTTGGTTCAAGAAAAAAATAATATAGAAGGTTTTTATTATTTGAATTATTAAGGTATTTACCATCGACATTGCAACCCAATAATTATTAAACATGTTATGTCCTTATCTTTTACGGTATTGAATGTTGACTCTTGTTTATTTGCAACTAAATACTAAAGACATTAATAATTAACAGACCATAAAGGGCAAAAATTTTTCACAATTATATCCTAAAGGGGGGAAGAAAATCAACTAGTCAATGGACCACTCCATTTTGATATGCGATCGATCTATAATTTTGAGACTGACTGAAATTTTGGTTTCGTGCAAAAACTAATTAGTATAATATGTTTTTAACATAGGGCAAGTTATCGATTCAAAATTAATGCTAAACTAATATGACTTGTCGTGATTGCTAATGACCTAACAAGAAGAATATTTTAGCCGACTCTATACTTAGAGGAGAACAATGCTTAATTTGTTTTAATTATTGTTACAAAAAATTAAAATCTATCAACTTGAAAGTAAAATTCAAACCAATTTTATTTCGTTAGTCAACATTAAATTAAAAATATTATTATTATTCATGTTTGGTGCTTGACAGAAAAACGTACACAATTATTATGGATTATCTAGATGAACACGTGTGAGGACCCTTTCTTTTTACCGCAAGACATTAAATCAACATCCCCACAAGTCTTTCACATAATTAAATTCTAATATTCTGGTAAAGAAACCGATAAAAGAATTTATTTATTTATTTATTAAATTACCAATAGCTTTTGTATTTTGATCATTTCTCCTTTTCGGGTCGATGTTGAAAATATTTTTAAAATAATGACAATTTATGACAGTCCAATGGAAAGATAACTTTAATGATTTTAAAATCCATATATGTTTTTAATCATCACGCAACAAAATATATTCCTAAAGAGTGATTTTTGTTCATGAAATCCAATACTCGACCGACCAAATCCATGATAGTAACCTGAAAATGAAAGAAAAAACAAAAGCATTACCCATAGCAAAATGTATCCTGAGATAATAATCTCTATATCCCACCAAAGGAAGAAATGTTGAGACATTAATAATTAGCCGTAGAAAACGGACCACGTCTAACAATTTGCTTTCACAATTACATGCTAAGAATAAATATAAAAATTCAGCTAGTCAATGGACCGATCACCCAAGCTTGATGTGTGTTTTACACGCAATATTGGATAGGATCGAATGATATGAATTCAACTTGTCAATAACGTCAACCTATTCATTTTACCCAATATACTTCTTGCCATTCTTCTCTACGTAATGCTAGCACAAAAAATTAGTTTACTAAATAATACATGGTTGAAGCACCACATATAAAAGCAGGGGCGGAATTGAGTGGGGGATTATAGGGTCAATTGACCCTCTAGATTTTGAGGGAAAAAAGAATTTTGTTTAGCTTTTTCTTTTCCTTTTTTTTTTTTAGCTTTTTTTTTTTATATCAGAAGATACCCTATAAATTTTATTTTTGACCCCCTAACCCAAATCGTTTGGATCCGCCCCTGTATAAAAGGCTAAAGTTTTGGAGAGGAGATAAGTTTATATCTTATATGTGTATTCAATATGTCTGTTCACATGCACATTGATTTTTTTTATTTTTTATAGTAACCATAATATGCACACATTTTTCTTGAATGGACAACGATATATTTGGACTAGCAACATCGATCTACTCTGATACCATGTTGAAGCGACGATGTAAACAAATAAACTCGTCCCGTCTCTAATATTTTAAAATTTAGAAAATAAAGTAATTCAATAGACGCAATTATCGCGTATGATCATATATAATGATTAATCAAGGTATGTTTAATACATATGGTCTATTTGACGTTCCTGAAAAATAAAAAATTGCTTCTTGAGCTAAAAAAAAATTGCGTTACGACATGTTTGACAAATTTTCTAAGAGGAAGTTGACACAAAATGACTAAGAAGAATCCTAGGAATCAACAACACGAAAACTTTGTTAGAAATTATCCCTTTCCTTATCGGGCTTGGGACTAAAAGAGTGGTTGGGACAACAAACATCCATCTCGTTTGTACTTTGGATACCCGTATAACCATCGAAGGCTGTTGAAGTGACTAATTCCCAAGTCACGCGTGTCTACCATTTCACCACCAAGGCATCTTGAAAGTGAATCCTATTCCATGAATATGATATTTATCTAGTGCGATGTATGGAATATATGGAAGCATTAATCTTTCCAAATGGACTCACTGTACTAGACTAGTCAATATAATGTGTAATATTTATCCACATGATTGTCTAATCCAACGTATCAAATAGGGTCGGACAAACTCCCTAATCGAACCCAAACCGAAATGAACCAAATCGAGCGATTTTTCTTAAATTACACTAACGGGGTTGGTTCAATTCTTGGTTCTAGATCAAAAATTCAATAAAAAACGAATCTCCCTAATTTTTTTAATTAATTTATTTTAAATAAGTCAAATTATTTTATTTTTTCTAAATAAATATGCTAACTAGTTGATCTAACTCAAACCTAGAAGTATGATTTTCCTATTTTTAATTTTCAATCCAAGCCTAACTTAATCAAACTGGCTTAAGTTTTACCCAAATCTATTATTCTACGGTGGTGCCCTTTTTATAGTTCTCGAGAAATCGAATTAAAATTTGGCAGTGCCTCTCTTAATTATTGTAAGATCGCTATCTTTCTCTTCCTATAATTTTAACAATCAAATCTACGAAAAACTCAGCAAAGAGAGATATAAAACACACAATATTGGTCTGCGTCATTTTGCAAGAGTTAAGATTGAACATGTCATTATTTAAATTAATATGACTTTGTAAATATTAAAATTTTTAATTATAGTATGGAATTCGGGAACCGAATGGAACCAAACCAAACTGAAATGAATGGAATTGAATCTGAACAATTCAATAACTAAATTTGGATCCGACGATTCCACTTACAAAATACCCAAAAATTTTGGAATCGAATCGGACTATGTCCAACCCTAGTATCAAAGGTGGTGCCAATGTATACATACAAGCCTAAATAACAAAGACAAATATTGAAAAAATGTTTAGTACACAAATCTTGACATGATAACACGTCGGTTGTAATAAGTTCAGAAGAAAGTGGGGTGCATGGAATTACCATAAAGTTACACATATGTCTCCTATATATTTACGTGGTTATCCACAAAAGTTATACTCTTGCAGTGTAAGGCTTCTAACTTGGGAATTCCTAATGAAGATGAAGGCAACACTCAAATACTTGGCTGGAATTGCAGGCCCAAGTGGATATGGTTCAAAATCCACGGCTGAACAAGTAACTCAAGATTGTTTGCTATCCGTGCCTTCTCCTCTTACTGCAATTATCACTGGTTAGTCCTCTAAACATAGAAAAGGAGATTTTTTTTTCCAGATTATAAGCATTTTGAATTATAAGTGATTATCATCTAAATCTTCTTAAACTAGAAAGAATATACACAGTATGAAATCTCTTTCAAGTTTTTCTTTTCTATCTTCTTTCATAAGTTTTTGTAAACAATTGGGTGAATGTCAGATTCATTTTTCATCAAAAGACTGACAAATAAATAATTTTTATAAATGAATCATGGCAAGACTCCAATCTAGAATTCGTGTTTGCTCTGATACCGCGTCGAACAAATTTCTTTTAGACAAGGGTGCTGATGAAGGGCGTCGTTTTACTTTTACGGAGAAAAAGAAGATTAAAGATTGCTTCTTCTTCCTTTTTTACTTTTCATTTTTTAAGATAATTTTCAAGAATCAGCCTTAAAATATTTTTTTTTTTTTTCAAAATCAGATTTATATCTAGCTAAACATGATGGAATTGAAATGCATATATAATAACATTAAAGAGCTCTTCTTTGGATTTAAAAACCTATATGTAAAATACTGTTTAATTCTTAATTATTTAATTTAGGATTTTCTCAAACTAATAAGATCAACAGAGTTTTAATACTGTGAGAGCATCAACTATTTATTTGAAGAATACCTTTCTCAATAAAAGATTTTTTTAAAAAAGAAATTCTTTTAATATAATTTTCAGAATTCCTCTGAAGAATGTATTATCTTATGATAAATCTCTGGATTTTCTTCCAATCAGTAAAGCAATGCTGCATTTTTATATTTATACTTTTAATCTTCTTGTAACAAGATAGAGTTTTGTCTTTACTCAATAGATCATTTCATTCTGGACAGCATTGATTACGGCTAATCATTCTCTCTTTAGTGTATAAAGTTTCATAAGGATTATCGTAATTATATATAAGATCCACTAACTTTAACTTACTCAATTAACTTGTTCACATGAAACATGACTATTTATTTAACTTTTGTTTTCAACACATCTATCATATAAATGTCAATTTTTTTTAATTTTTTTTTTAGTGAATAACAGGAAGAGAAACTTGATAATATGACCTTTGATTGCTCGATATCATATTGAACCACATCGTCTAAAAAATTATTATTTTGCATGATACAAGGGGCTACATCTGGCATAGGTGCTGAAACAGCAAAAGTTCTTGCAAAGAGGGGTGTAAGAATAATTATTCCTGCAAGGGATTTGAAAAAGGCAACTAAAGTGAAGGAAATTATACAAAAGGAGTGTCCAAATGCTGAGATAATTTTATTAGAGATAGATTTGAGTTCATTTGCCTCAATCCAGAGATTTTGTTCTGAGTTCTTATCTTTGGGAATGCCACTTCATATCCTCATGTATGTATTTTATTTTATTTTTGGAATTTTTCTTTCGATTTTTTGATTTTCATTTATTTTGTTGTCTTCCCTACGAGTGGTTTGGTGGGCACAAAATTAAAGGGTGTACATGAAACTGATGGTAGATATCAAACTTGTGCAGAAACAATGCTGGCAAATATTCACAAAAGTTGGAGTTTTCTGAAGACAAAATTGAGATGAGTTTTGCCACAAATTACTTAGGTAGCCTTCTTGTCTCATCCACTGCACACTTAGCACATGCTTGCTGTACATTCATTACAATAATAAATAAGATTTTAACATTTTTCTTCTTACCTTCATATTGTTTATTATTATCCAATTCTTCCTACCGAACATGTCATTAGGGTAGATTTATGCGCAATATCTGAGATGGCTAAACAATATATATTTTTCTTAATTATCACCCACTTGAAAATAATATTAGAGTTATGTCACAGTACAATAACTATACACTATTAAAAGTTCATAAAAAAAATTTGGATGAGTTTTGCCCCAAATCACTTGAGTAGTATGGTTGTCAAAATTTCTGTAGTTTACTTGAATACAGTATAGCCACCATGGTGTACCAATAGATGTGGTTAAGTAGTGGAGGGAAATTTTCTTGATTTGTTCCCACTAAAATATCTAAGTGGTACTGGTATCATTTGTGGGCATGGGTTTTCCTTTTCTTTTCGACACCTTTTGGAAGGAAGTATAGAAAAATCCCACTTGCGCTACACATTTATATTTATGTATGAACATTTTGTCTAAAAAGTTTTAGGTAGGAAAAGACGAAAAAAAAAAATAATAATAATTTAGTGGTAAGATTAGGATTAACTCTTTGTTCCTTGATTTTTTTGCAGGTCATTTTCTTTTAACAGAAATGCTGTTAGGAAAAATGATAGAGACTGCATCAGATACTGGCATCCAAGGAAGAATAGTGAATGTGTCTTCAGTGATTCACAACTGGGTTAAAAGAGACAACTTTTGCTTCAACAAAATGCTGAATCCAAAAAGGTGAATAAACAATGTATTAAACCTTAAGACTGGGTGGGATTCTTACATTGATATGATTAAAAAAGCAGTTTTGATGGAAATATCACTCATAATTTACTTGTATCATATTTGTTAATTACATTTTCCTGGTTCTTACAGTTATAATGGCACTCTTGCTTATGCTCAAACTAAACTGGCGAACATATTGCATGCCAAGGAATTGTCCAGACAGCTAGAGGTATAATGTTTAAAAAGTTTTATTTGAATTATAATATAATCAAATTTGTTCATTTAAATTTCAAAAGTGCAACACATTTCCTCGCGTGTATACTGAATATATTATTTACTAAAGATTGGACACGTGCAAAATTTTTATAAATGTGTGGCAGAAAGATTTGAAGTAAGTTGAATCATTTCAACTAAAAGCTTAAACTTTTGAAGAATTGGAATGTGCATAGGTTGTATCAAGTCTCACAAATGAGGAAGACAGTTCTAATAAATAAATTTGCTCCTTCTCTAACGTCTCAAGTAGATTCAAGATTTGGTGCTACTTTTTTATGAACAATGTGTAATCAAACCTTTAATTTCTGGGAATCTTACAGGCAAGAAAAGCAAATGTTACTATCAATTCAGTACATCCAGGAATTGTGAAGACTGGCATCATCAGGGATCACAAAGGCTTTATCACAGGTACGCATGCATGCATAATCACTCGCCCCCCACCCCCCACCCCCACCCACAACTTAATTGCTTTTTTGCTTATCAAGCAAAATAAGTGAAGTCCAATGCCTTACTTGATGTTCAGATTCATTATACTTTATGGCATCCAAGTTGCTGAAATCAACATCACAGGTTTGTCCACACATGCCTGTCTCTTCTCTCTAACTGAAGATTCATTTTTGACAGATAAAATGGTTCAACCGAGTAAATATTCGTGTGTGTTACATAATTTACAGGGTGCAGCGACGACATGTTATGTAGCTTTAAGTGGAAAGGTGGCAGAGGCGAGTGGCCGGTACTTTGCAGACTGTAACGAGAGCCATTGCTCCACCCTAGCAAATGATGAAATTGAAGCACGTAACTTATGGAACCAGACGCGTGCTTTGATACACAAACAATTCGTTCAACCATGAATTAAAATTAAGGGCATGTTGGTTACACAATACGAAGTAATTATGTATAGTGCACGTAAATGAGTAGCTATGTATACATTTAAATCCATGGCAAAGGGTAATTAATCACACAAGTAGGTTTATTTCTAGCCATAGATTATATATGCAGAAATTCATGATATAAAAAGTTAAACTGTCAACACCTTGTTATATAATTATTCCAATAATAAGAAATTATTAATTTCAAATTTTTATAGTTATTTCAATTACAAGAATGTGTACGCCTTACAATTTTTTACGTAATCAAAATTTGCATGTTTTACTTGGTATATCCCCAAACCTACCCTATTCTATAAGCAACTTTTTAATTTTGATATATTTGTTTTAGATTATAAATTATAAGATATATTATTCGTCGTTGGTAAGTAAACTAAGTTATTATCAAAATATTTTAGAGAGTAATTATATTCACACCATATTCTTATTTCATTGAAGGTCCTCTATCTTTTTTTATAGTAGTAATTATGTCCTCAATATTTATTAATATTATTCTTTATTTATTTTTTATTGTTTTGTATTGCGTTCTTATTTTCAAGTTTTCAGTAATTAGTAGATGGCATCTTTAATAACAGCTTCCGTCCAAATAATCCATTTCGAGGACGTGAAATGACTTATTTGCAAATACTTTTAGAAAAGGTAATAAATTCAAAAATGAGACGAGATTTTTTCTTTAATTTCAAATTACGCAAATATTATATTTTGACATAATCTATCATGAAGGATTAGATTTATTGATTGATAGAAGGTTGAAGATAAGAATTTGACCAAAAAAAAGGTAAAGACACAAGTCCTATAATGAGTAAATGTTGATTACCTCAAGTATAATTAAAGTGTAGTGCAACCAATAAAAATAGTGATGTGAGTATAGTTAAAAAATACATTTACACCTTATTTTTTAATAGATGCACCATATTTTAATTGCATAAAAGTTTAGAACATTTTTGTTCTCATGTTTGTACAGTTGGGTTTAAAAATTCATTTTGTAGTTCAATCAAGCCAATTAAAAATTATTCTAATTGATAATAGTCAAGTCTAAGGACGTTGTTGCAATTTTTTTCCAGTCAAAGATCTTATGCACGGTTAATATTCACTTGACTCGTTCAAGTCTAAGGCTTTGATTCTTAATAAAATATATATAAGCATATTGTCTTTTATTCTTTATTCTCATCGGCAAGAAAAAACAATACCGATCAATTACTTTTGCACCTGGGAGCAAAAACTATACCTCCCTTTTGATTTCAATGGATTAACTCTAATTTTATCATGCAAGTAGTCATATGTGGATGATTACCGATCAATTATGTAATTAATTTTCATGTTTGCTGTCATCTATATAATAGCATTCATGTCAATTTTCAATTAACTTTAATGTATACCTATCGTGTTTATATTAATTAACGATGAAACCAAATAATTCATGTTTACGATGATTATTAAATACTTTTTCTCTCTTTAAATGATTAAATATTTTACGAGTGTTCTTCATCCTTTAGTAAGCAACAATTAGACCAACATATTTGTGTCTTAATTTGGTTGAAAGATGTTATTTTTATGGCAAAATTAAACTGTGGTTTGGAATCAAATCGAACTGTAAAAATAAACTGCCTTGGAATTTTTTCTAATCGACTTAAATAGTTTGTTTTGAAAATAAATAAAAAACGTGAATGTCCTCAATATTCTTCCGTAAAGGATGATCAAATAGATGCAAAGAAATATTCTCGTTACAACAAAATCGACTACTCTAAGATACGCTTCACTACTTGAGACTAACATATGATTTTAAATTAAGAAAAAAAATGAAATTTGGCCTCATGATAGGAATTGGGAATTTGGTCCCCCACTCTTTAACTAAGTAGAGTAACTTCATTAATAATCAAATGAATGCAAAAGAGTTTTCTAGCTTAAAAGTTGATAAAAATTCAAGGTAACCAACACATTTCATGAACTCATATAATTTTTATTAATATTCTTAATACAACAAAATCTACTAAATTTAGAAAAACAAATGAACTTGTACAGATCATGTCACTCTATCTAGAAAAACAGCTACGTCTATGCAGTTAGTGCATAATAAAAACCACTATCATCGTTATCACCATCTTAAAAAACCTAAACGAGTATAGTCGTAATCTCTGACATGAACGCTACTATGGCCGCCTTCCATAATCGCCGCTGGACTTCCACTACAACCACCTCCAAGGCTCTTATACATTGAGCAGCCAATAGTAGACATGGAAATCACAGACATTTTACAATATTCAAGCAAAAGATTTGGGTTTTGACAGTGGGAAATTGGTGGAATGGAAATTGTGGGAAACGGTGGTGGATTATATAGGTGGTTTATATGGAGCTGGCACGTGGTGAATGTGGTGTTTATGTGCTAGGCTCGACTCATCTCACATTTGACGCTACCATGGACCACCCACAAAGGAGCTCTAGATGATACGTCAGATTGTACATTTGGAATTACAAGTGGTACACCCAAATATTGTGTGAAAAAGGTGATATTTTTTAGTAGACAGAACGTGTGCATGATGTGTATTACTTTTTGGGTATTGTGGAACAAAATGTTTGATTCAACAATAAGCATGCTAAGAACAAGAATCACATAATAATAAATGAAAAATGAAAAATATATTTAATTGTTATTCATCACATCAAACCACCATATTTGACTTCCTTTCTCTTGTGTAGGTTCCGTAACGACTATATTTTCATTCTCATTTTTATAAGAATGAGAATCAAACGAGCGCTTAAACTCTAATTATGATTTACATATATTTTCAGTTCACATACTTAAAATTATCACATTCCATTAAATATAGTCCGTAAGGTGTAAAATACTCAATTGATCAATTAATAAATTTGGTCCAATTACAATATCATTATAAGTTATATATCTAACCCGTAAAATTTACAATCGAATGTGAAACCCCTATTTAAAATTATTCCAGCACAAAAATCTCAAAAAGTGGGACTTGATGCGATTTTATGGAATATAGTGAGTGCTGTATGTGCAATTCTTAGACCATCTAACAAGGAATATATGGTCACATCTACAATGATATCAGCTGCTAAAAAACCTCAAATAAACTCCTTATAACTCGGTACAGAGTATACACATTCATAAAGGCATATATTTATGCCTTTAACCCACGCAATTAGTCAAATAGATTCTCGTACATACATACGTATACATAATTCCATATATATACATGAACAGAAATTTCAATCACTGAATAAACGCATTATGTCTCTGAGTTGTCGAACTTGCTTGCGAAGACCACTCACCTCCTCATCGAAATCGGCATGAATCGGATCAATTCGCAACTGAATTTCACCAGAGTTACCAACCACTGCCGCTGGCCTCGTGCTTAATCCTTGTCTGTTTCAATTATTAACATTAATAAATAATCACATGGATAAAATAATTTTACTAGTCACCTCGATCTGTATGGAGCAGCCATTGTTTAAGAATAATAAAGCAGACATAAAATTTTTGGGTAAATTAAGAACAACAAACTAGGGATTTGCATAGGGAGAAATGCTACAACAACAGAGGAACACGTGTCAAAACATAAATGAATAGTTTGAAAAAAAAAAAGAAACAAGAAAAAAAATGTTCAACTAAATGCTGCCAACTCAATCTGTCTACACTTTCCCTATTCATCCATCATTTTCCTTACAGAGGTGGTTAATTGTTATATGGTTGGGGCTAGGACTGGGCAAAACCCAACCCAACCTGTTCAACCCGATCAACCCAAACCAACCCGATCGATTTGGGTTGGTTTTTTAAGTTCAATTAGGTTGGGTTGGGTTTCGGGTTATGATTTAAAACCCAACACAACCTAACCCGATGAATTAAAAAAAATAATATCTAAGATTAAAAAAAAAACCTAAATAAAAACAATAGTAAAGATATGAAAATGACTTATAATTTATGAACGTCCATTTTTTTTTTTATATAGATTGATTCCTATAAACATAATTTACAAATGAAATGTTATTTCATAATAAAGTAAAAATTAAGAAGATGGCGATGAAATGAATAAATCCCAAAAATTTGTAAATAATAATAATAATAATAATAAATACTTCATAAATTTTAAATTTATTTATACATCATTTTTCAAAAAGAATTCCTTACATAGGTATTTAAAAAAAAAAATCAGAGATTTTCAAATAATTTCAAACTTTAAAAAATTATTTAAATTTAACAAAAATATAATCGAATCGAACTTTAATTGGACCGAAACCCAAACCGACCAACCCAACCCAAACTTGATCGGGTTGGGTTGGGTTGACTTTAAATAAAATCGACCATGTTGGGTTGAATTTGGATTGGGGAAAAAATCGACCCAACCCAACCTATGCCCTCCCCCACTTGGGGATATTTTTAAATTTCCCTTTTTTCACAAAGCAAGAAAAGAATGGAGGGTTAGAAGCATTTGTTAGTCACCCAACTTATCCTACTGTTTTAATTTTGTCATAGAATTCTTTTATTGTTACAAATGAGTCATTTGATACTTATATTTTATTTCAATTCAAGAATTTCTTCTACAAAAATGACTATATGGCTCGAAAATTTGTTTCTAAATTATTTTTAAGATAATACTATTCATCTATCACAAGCATCTAATACGATGCTCAACATAACTTAAAACAATTCAATTGACTTTTTAAAATAAAAAGTGAGTGTTAATAAAGATTAGGGAAAATTGCAGCAGGGGTACCAAACCTTTCGTTTATTAACAGATTTTGCCCAAACATTTAGTTTGTGCCACCGTGAGGACCAAACTTTTGAAAAACTCGCACCTGGAGTCCAAATGGATGATTTCTATTACTTTAACTGTTAGTTGACTCAAGGAATTGATTTTGACCAATTTTTAAGGGGGTAGAATGGTAACTTTGAAATAAAAACAAAACAAAACATAGATTAATAAAAAGAGAAAAGTCAGTCAAGTACTGTTCATCACCCCTACCCCTCCACCTCCACCCTAAATTAACGCACCCCGTATTCATCATCCCTTCCAAATCAAAGAGATCTACTAAGCAGTATTTTAGCTCTCACAAAGCAAGTAAGGTAAGACCCACTTCGACCACCGGTGAATCACAATGGATGGAAGAACAATATTTTGGCTGCCAATTGCAATTGACGGAACAATCAACTCACTACTTCAGGGATCGTATTA